AGGACTCAAATTTATCAATCAAGTTGGAGAATTTGGTTGAAATGTACATCTCATTGATTTAGAGATAACATGACATTGTCCTTATATATAAGAGCCTCACAGATAGAGAGAAATCTTCAAAAAGAAGGAAGGGATTGAGAGATTATTTTAGAAGGAAAAGAAAGAAGGGGGGAAAAGTAGGAGATATGATCTATCCTCACAAATAAGATTTACACTAGTGTCACAGACAAAATGTTTTGACAAAGTAGAAGTGGTGAGTAGTGTGAAGTTGAACTGAAAAAAAAAAAGGCAAGGTATATCCAATGTGAACATGTTTATAGCATGTTATACACAAATAGGTTATTTTAGATTTTCTTGAAGAGTATTTAAAAGACAAGTTTTCTAAGTTCAAGTCAACAAGTATCAGTGTAACTCCAGGGACTAAATATCCCTGTTCTTTCCTTGAAAACAGGCGTTAAATAAGAGAGTCCCTAAAATCTCACTGATCTCTTAACTTCTTTGGTCTGCTAACTATAAAAGTTGCCCTTTCGGCCCCTTGACCAAAGAGAATTCATGTTTTTCACTTGCACAGATGAATATCTCAGTTATACATTTACTGCCACTCATCACAACTACCTATGTATACAGAGGCCCAGAGATGACCCTCTTACAGTTTTCCTTTCATGTTCATGGTCAAGTTCTATGAATTTAGACTCTTTCGTGAGACTGGCCATGTTGATGAGATTAAAACTGCAAATAAAGACAATTAGAAATAATGACCGAAATACATTAGATCCTATTTTTTTCCTGTGATATTCTTTTGAAATCTAACTTTTCTCCATATATTTCAAGTAGGCCATCTCACAAATTTATAGGTTTTTATACTAAAGCAAAACTCCTAGGTCATTGAAATTTGGACAGTTCTTTAAAAGGGACAAATCTAAATTGACATACTGCTGTTATAACTGTCACGATTTTTATGATTTAGGCATTGATATTTTTAGCATTTTCATGTGAAAATAAAAAAATTTTACATGTTCCAAGGATTTCTGTTACTTTACATTCCTTCCACAACTGTACAAATCTGTAGTTTGAATTTGTGTTCGCTCAACAAATACACATTAACATTACTCCTCAATTCTGTTTTTCCATGAACAAAATGCCTATTATACCTTACTTGCTAAAGCTGTTCAGGATATCTACCATTCCTTCAAATTATTAAAGTTCATATTATGACTCATGCTTGAATGAAATGACAGTCTCCACATTGGTAGAATAAATTCATAAATCATGGCTCACCTGTCTTTTATTCCAAAAAGTTAATTATTTGTGATAAAACTTCAGTAAATGAAGGTTATTTTTCCCAAGAAAATGCTAGAACTTACTAGGTTTGAATTTCAGCACAGTGGGCCAGATGCACCAACCCTTTCCATATGATAATGCTCAAATTAAAGCTAAGCAGCCTTAATGAGAACAACAGATAGCCTTCATTAAAAAGTCTATTTAAAATGCATAACCAGTGAATCTAGTTTTTTTTTTGTTGTTGTTTGTTTGCTTGTTTTTTACTTTCTGGAACTTAACCTCTAAGTTATACACAATAAATCTTTGTATCCAGGTAACTATTACTTCAAAATATACGGCTTTCTAAAATAGTAAAAAAAAAAAAAATTAACATGTGATTAGAAAATGTATTTAAACTTATATTCCATATAAACACTATTGAATTAGGACTTGTTTGATACAGATATTATTTGGACAATGTGAAGATTGACTTTTATTCTTAATTTGAAAAATCAATAAACTAAGGTTACTTTTTAATTTTGCACTAACTTTCTTGTATTATTATTATTTTTTTTTCAGAGAGATTTCTGCTATAGGGCGTGTGCACTCACTGGGGAGACAGAGAGAATGAGAGAGAGAGAAAAAGAGAATTCACCTCCTGGGGGGATGGCCATGCTGCAGTTCCTTCTCCATTCTTCTCTTGGGATTGTGGGCAGGCACGGACATGTGCCTGGTGTGAATTCCAAGCCTCCGGGTCTGGGACTTGAATCGCAGTTGACCATGTGCGAGTCTAGCAACATAACCATTATGCCCTCTGTTGGTCATCTTTCTAGTATTACTTTTAAAAACCTACCACTCATGATTCTACTGTATCTTCTGATTGGCAGGAGTAGTCATTGTGCCTTCATGGTTTTCTCATGTAAGTGTCCAAGTATGACAACAGTGATTCCATACCATGGCTGCAAATTAGAATCATCTACAGAGATTTTAGAATGTATTATAGGCTGGGCCCTAAATCTCAGAGATTCTAATGAGATTAGCCTTAACTGATACTTTTGAAACACTTTTCAGGTGATTCCAAGAGGAAGTTGCGTTTGAAAAACCACTGAGTTGGAGAATTTGGAAATAACAAGAGTGTTTTGCTCAGAGTAGACTAAAAGAGACTTCCAAGAGAGGAGATAGTACAAATATGACTGTATTTAGCTATCTCCACAATTGGGCCAGGGAATGCTTTGAAGTCTGTCCTAGTTCTCTGATTCTATGGTGGTATAGTGTGCTTTCTATGTTAAATGACTATTTCACAATGTTTTTTTCTTCACGGAATACATAGTGACTTATCGATCTTTAAAATGTCCCTGTGAATAGCACAATAGAGGTAAGCTATGGGGAGATAACAGTCCTTCTTTCAACTTATTATTTTTTATCAACAAAATATGATCTGTAAAATTATATCTGAACCCTTTAAAATGTAAACTGGCATCCACAGCATTCATATAATCAATATTGAGTCCAGGTGTCCTATCAAAAAATTAAGAAAAGTGAAACATTATTGAAATTGAATTAGTCGGGGATGGCTTCTTCAAAGCACTGGTATGTTCTAGATTCAGAAGGAGGACATGCAATTCGAATCAATAAAAGGGTTCTGTGTAAAATGCGCTACTGAATAAAATGTGAATGACCTCTAGTCCTTTCTCTGAAGATACTGATGATCTAACTCAGAAGTCGTCCTAACTCTACTACAAAGAGGATGCTATGAGTGCATGGAAGACCATGAGTTTATTTCAGATGAAAGGATTAGGCACTACTTTATGGGCAAAGGAAATGAGAACTAGCCCTGTAGGCCCCGAAGGAGAGTATGCTTATGGGCTTTCCATGCAGAACTCCACACCACCAAAAATAAGGCAGCACGTTTTCTGGAACTCCAGGGGGGGAAATGTCAAAATGGATGTACACACCTTCACAGAGGTGAAAATGTACCATGGTGAGAAGTGTTGACCCCGTTCACCAGGCTAGAGAGAGCTCAAGTGAGAATAAGAGGGGGTTTGCCAACCTGGGGGGTAAGGGAGGGTAAAGAGGGTTGATGAGTTGGACATCCACGTAGCCAAAGTACTAACAATCCCAAAGGATCCCAGTTATAACGGGAACAAAAGTAAGACCTTGACTACCTGACTTATACCGGTCACCTGATTGTGTTAACAAATCATCACCCTGCAACATGTCTAGATTGATATAAGCGAATCATGAGAGAAAAGGAAATCACAACCATCAGGATTTTCTGTTAAGGAATAAGCTGGCCGAGAATCCTCTCACCAGAGACAGGGGGGCTGCCATTCCGTACATTCTCAGTCCTTTCCACGGAAGAGCAACCAACTTCATTCTGAATTTATCTGCATAGGCTATTAAACTACTCAATACAATATTTTGACCAAATGTTTCACTGAACATTTGTCAATTTAAATATACATATGTATAATTTATATATATGTTATATATATATGTTATATATATATATATATATATAGAGAGAGAGAGAGAGAGAGAATTTCAAGATTTCTATTCTGATAAAGATTTCTACCTATAAAAAGGATTTTAGGAGTCTTTCTGTATTCTGATTGCCTAAAAAAAACACTAGAGACTGAAAAAAAAAATCACTGTATAAGAGGTAATTAGCATGTTCTCTCCTTTTTATAACTTTTTAATTGAAACCTCATTAAAAGCTTTCTAGGTCTCTTTTTCCCTTAGTGACTAGGTGTCCCTAATTTGTTTTCAACCAATGTGACTAATTCCAGGCAAAGACTAGAAAAAAGTCTGATACCTGTTGGAGAATAGCAAGGTTAAATAAGTGGGGTGCCTTTTTGGGTTGCTTTTAACCTCGAAAAAGGAAAAGAAGAAGAAGGAAAAAAAAAAAAAAACCACCAACAAGAAAGGCTTCAACGTCTTTCCTCTCACAGTCCTGCCTTTCTCTCAGTCCCGGTTGAAGATTCCAAGGGAAATGAGAGCACTATTTTGTTTCTCCCTTGTATTGCAGATAGGGGGAGGAGGTGGTTATTAGAGAGAAGCTCTTCCTCTCGGTTTCCCCCTCTCTCCGCCTGACAGCACCGCTCTCTCGCGGGCTCGCTCCTTCTCCTAGGTGATCCATTTCTAGGCAACGTGGGGCTGGTGCTGAAGCTGCCTGGCTCGCTCCCTGCTTCCTGCATCCCGCCAGGCGAATCGCCCCGAAAGCATCCTGCAGCCCGCGGCTGGCCTCCGCCGCCCGGCCCCGCTGCTCGCGCCCGGCGCAACTCCCCCGCCACCGCGCCCGAGCGAACCGAGCGAACCGGCTCCCGGGCCCGCCCCGCCCAGCGCCGCCGCCGCCCGTCG